GGTTACGATACTTGCCATTCGTTCGAAGCTCCATCCCATCAATCGAAGACTCTAGGTCTTCTTCTTTAGAGCCGCGACAACCAGGAGACGTCGCCAATCTGCTGAGCCACTGAGGACCTGAGTTATTCTCCTTTCTTCTTCCAACTGCTATTAGCCTATTAGTCATTAGTTCGTTCTTCTAATGTTCTTCCTCATTCTGCCGATTCTGGAGCTGGTGTTATAAACTGAAATTGGGTCATGTTTAATTGCAGTTCTGCCATGTGTGTGATGGTGTTAACTATTTCCAGTTTGCAAGAAATTTTCTTTTAGTCTGCTAATAGTCATTAGTTCATTCTTCTGATCATCTACCCCTGTAAAAACAATCAATGTTCTGCCATGTGTGTGATGTTGTATTTGTCCAGACATATCCTCCTCTTCCTCTTTGTGATGTTAAGGGATAAATCCCGCACTGCTGTACTGCTATTTACTTTTGCTTAAGATAGTTAAGATAGTTGATTACAAATACCTTGCCAAAAAGGGATAAAAAAATATGTTTCAAATTAATAATATATAAATATTTACACTTGTTTATGCACTCTACCAAAAATATCTAGAGCACAATCTAAAAGTGAGGATCCAGCATGGGAGCATGCATTAAGAGTCAAACAAGATGATAACACACGTGTGCAATGCATATATTCTAATTACTTATGCACTTTTGGCTTAGTTATACATTATATATATTATTTTATTTTATTTTTAATAAGATCGCTTTTTGTGAAAAAGCTACGCTTTGCTTAGCGCTTTCGCTTTAAAGCAAAGCACGAGGTCAACGCTTTTGGTCGCTTTTCACTTTAAACAAGTTTGGATGGATCTGTACATGGTAATTAACCGGTTAAATAGCAAACATGATTACTTTAGTAATCAATTTTTTGGAACTTTAATTTATGAGTCATATTTTTGTCATTACATATTATATTAGTAATATTCATAATAAAAGGCTTTAAATAATGTAATTTGACTATATTTTGAGAAACAATTATTTTGATGGGAATAAAATATAATGAAGTGTGATAAGATGATAACTATGATTAGGGTTGGACTTGGTCAGGCCCGATATTGTTTGCGATTGGTCTGGGTCTGGAATTTCCGGTTTCAGGCTTGGAATAGCCGTGTCTGTCCAAGAGGGGTATTTAGTCCCGGTTCACGGTTCAACTATTTAAGTATTGAACTGGGTGGTTTTGGTCCCCGTACTGGCGATGATTTTTTTGCCTTAGAAATGGGCATAAATGAAAATACAATAGAACCATAATCGGAAACGGACTGCATGCCCTGGGTACCTAGAAGTCTGGAACCAACCCAGATTCGGAACCGATTCGGACTAGGGGTTCTCCTACCAATGACCGGGACCGGAACTAGGACGGAGTCGACCCCTAATTATAATGTTATAGATTGTATTATTTAAAAAAACAATAAGCTTGGAGGGAAGGAGTATAAAATTAGTTAATGCACTTATGGAGCAGGGGTAATTTTTACGGTATTTTCACACCCTTAGTGAATATGTTTTATTTTTAATATTAAGGCCATAAAAATGTTTTAAAGAAAAACATCTTTTGTCAATAACATGGGTTTATTTTGTGATGTAACTTGTGTTATGGAAAATGTAACTTGTGCGGATGGAAAATCTAACTTAGGTGTATTCAAAATGTAACTTACTGAGCCAAATTCAAATTTCTTAAAAACACTAATAGTATAACTTGCGCGGATGGAAAATCTAAGTTAGGTGCATATTATGCTTATTTTGTTTAGATTAATATTACAAAAAAAGTGTATTACAAAAAAAATGCAAAGAACGTATAATACAAAAAATGTTACAGAAATAAAAATAATGTATGAATGTGAAATGTAATATATTTATTTTATTTAGATTAATATTTTTTGTTATGAATTGATAAAAATAAGAAAATAGACTGAGTTGTAATTTAAGTTGAAGATAAAAGAAAATTAAAATTGCAATTACATTTGTAGTATTTGATGGAGAAGAAAAAAGATTTATAGAAAAGGAAAATAAAAAGAAGCAAAAGGAATAAGAAATAGGAATGTGTGTGGTGTGCCGATGTATAATTTGCCTGCAAGGACATGCAGAACAAGGGCGGACATGATTCTGGTTTCATCCAAATGTCTAAGTAATTGAATCCTTAACTGTTACAATTCTGATCCTCGGTTTACTAGTTTTAGTTCGAAAACCCAGAACACATCCCCCCAAATGCAAGTAAATAGTTTGCTTCTAATGGTCTGGTTTTTTACGAGAATATTACTAAAATAAAACTTATTTACATAAATATGACTATTCATTACTACAACGTAGTACTGTGGTAACTAAAGTTCAAAACTTGAACATGAATTACTATGATTTAATTACTACTCTAGTAATGAATCATATTTTTGTAAGCCATCTTTATTTTGGTCATATTTATGTAATTATTTCATCGATTTATATGCTCTATATTACGTAGGATTTAATGTTCTACATGTTCTAAAGGTCGTTAGGCGCTAGTCGGGTGTTAGCTCAGCGCCTATGCGGAAATTAATCGGAGATGCATAAATATACTCGTAGTTTTATTAATATTAGTCGGAGATGAATAGTAATATAGTGATTGTGTGTATATAAAAAAGTTATACACAAAAGTTATACACAAACATTAACATGGATGATGATAGAGTTATCACATTTAATACTACATATTATATTATACATATTCACTCAACTTATTATGTAATACAAGTAATTATTAAATACTCCCTCCGTCCCGCTAGAAGGTTCCCGTGAACGGTTTATGATGTTTGACTGAAGATAAAACAACTTAATCCATGTTCACACTCTGATTATTTTCAGTAAATAAAATTTACATATTCAGAAACTACATTAAAACCGCTACAAAGCCTAATAATAAAATGTAAATTTGATAAAATTTGATATACTTCGTATAAAGTAAAAGAATAAAATGATTTGAATTGACCATGTATAGAGTGGACGGGAATCTTCTAATGAGACGGAGGTAGTAATAACAACATTTAAGATTATATACGAACACGGAACACGTATGGTTTTTATCATAATCTACAACTAGTAGCTTTTTTCATATGCATTCTTAAAGGTACATACTTCGTATATCTCTTAGAAAATCAAAATGAAAAAGCAAAAAAAGGAGTGTCGACCATCACCTAGCGCCCTAGACGGCCGACTAATTCACCCAGGTAACGAACCAATTAGGCAGGTCGCCTGGACTAAAATCGTGGCGCCCGGCCACCGCCTAACGCCTAGGCAGGGACTAGAGAGGTGCCTAGAGCAATTTTAGGTGAAATAATTGCCCAAATAATACTATTTGAGTTTCAATTCACAATTATATGACTAAATTAGATTTTGACCAAAAAGTGACCCGGGCGGCCTTTTCTCTCCATCTCTGCATCTCGCATCCACTGCCATCCAGTTCCCAGCTCTGCGCTCATCTAGTCATCTCCATTCGGACGGCCTCCACCACCTCCGACGCATCATACTACTATCGCTCCTTCTCCTATTCAGTCGCCGCCACTCTTCTTCTTCTTTTTCTTCTCCTTTCTTCTCAACAGTAAATCTAGCATCGCCGCTTCAGAGCACCTCCTTCATTGTTATCTTCGACGGTGTGTCTCGATTGCCGCCGCTTTGGAGAACCTCTGTCGTTGTCTTCTTTGATGGAGCGTCTCCATAGCCGCCGCTCAAAATCATGTCAAGATCTGCAGATTTCTGGATCCCCATAGCTAGATTTTTCAGATCCATTTGTCTAAGGTTTCAGTCTGGAAAATAGTCTAGTGGTGGGGCGGTGGGGAACTGATGAGTAATAGTGACAGGGCCAGATGGGGGGTTGTTGGGGTGTGCGTTGTAGACCGTGGTGGGGGTGGCCGGGATGTGCCTTGCGGGCCATGGTGGTGCTGGTCACTGCTTACTGGAGTGACGAAGGTCTAGTGGTGATGTCACTTTGGCAAGTAGATTTTGGGGGGCTTTGGACGGAAAGATGTTGGCTGGTGGTGGAGGGTGTTGGTTGGTGGTGGAGGGCTATGGATAGAGAGATGTTGATCGGTGGTGGACTGATGACAGTAGGTGGGATTGCGAGGGGGCTGGGTGAGGCAGGGGCTTGGGTGTAGTGGTTGTAGTTGTTGGTCGGAGTTGGTGGCTGCCGAAGGTAATTGGGCTGTGTGTCGGCGGAAATTGGGCGGTGCTGGCAGCGGTGTCACTGTTGTAGTAGGCGGGCAGTCACTGTGTCAGTAGGCGGGCTGTCACTGGCTGTCACTGTGACCACAGTCACTGTGGCGGCGGAGTCACTGTGGCGGCGGAGTCACTGTGGCGACGGAGTCACTGTGGCAGCAGAGTCACTGTGGCGACGGAGTCACTGTGGTGGCGGGGTAGTCACTGTGGTCGACGGGGCAGTCACTGTGGACGGAGGGGTCACTTTGGCAGGAGTCACTTTGCCCGGAGTCACTTTGCATTGTAGGGTTAATTGTGATGTTGGTCACATTTTTGGAATTTTAAAAAAGAGATCACTTTTTTATCTGGTATCCTATTTTTAGTAATATTGGAATAAAAAGGCCATTTTAGGTTCCCGTCAACTGTTCTCCGGTCATCGTAAATTGTCCTTAATCTTTTACTTTTTATATATCCAACTTTATCAAAATTATTTTTTCTTTTTGTGACTTTATAAATTTTTTAATGTAATTTCTGAATATGTAAATTTTATTTACTAAAAATTAATTAATTAATGACATGGATCAGTTAACTTTATGTCAATCAAACACCGTAAACCACGTGTAAATCTTTATCTGGGACTACGAGCGCAAATGAGCCGAGCCCGAATCTATGCAGGCTCGACCTCAAAATATATTGTATTGGCCCGAGCTCGAGCTCAGCTCGAACAATTTTACTGTTTTGACACTGTTTGACACTGTTTTGCACTGTTTGTCACTGTTTTGATGTAGGATAACTTTCTGATGGATTATATGGACTCCGACCCCCCGGTATGCCGACTACTAGGCCTGGACAGCGGCCCACACACGTTTAGCGGATATCATTAATATTATTGTACATTATTATTATTATTCAGATGTTCTAGATCAGCTTTTTATACTATCAGTCCATTTATGTAACCGGGTCTGTCAGGCCCATATTAGAGGCCCAGACCCGGATTTTCCCTATATATACTCCTTATAGGAGGCTTGTAACTCATATAACCAATACTCATTCTATACACATTTCCTTCTTCTTCATCATTTCTTCTTCACTCTTGTTCAATTTCTCCTGTTTATACAATATGGGTATCAATTATCCAACAATGGTGCTCTCGTTGAGAGGTTTGAACACATCAAGTGAGAAAACCTCCCCAAAACAACCCAAAAATCTTCTCAATCACAAAAATCCACAAAAATCCGTTCTGGAAAATGAAAAAAAAAATGAAGAAACTACAATTTCAGATCTGAAAAGTCCCAAATCTGACCGGAGCGTTGGTCGCCGTCCAAGCCCTTGCCCACCGTTGCACCTGGTCTGGCAACTAAAATTGGAGGCCGCCGGCACCGCTCCAAGTCAAGCTGCTGCTCCGGATCTGATTCACTCAAGGTGGTCCACCATTAATGGCCGCCTGAGAGCTTCTGGGAGAGATGAACGACCCCGCGTACATTTCTCTACCTCCGTCATGGTGTCGCTCGCCTGGCTTACGGTCGCCCCACCACCACGGCGGTCGGATCTGGAAACGGGCTATCAGTCGCAGCTCCCATCTAATCTGGTGAGCCCTTGCAAGTTTCTTCCATTAAATGGCCACAACAAGCTCCTTGCAGAGTGCCGCTCCAGACCTCGCCGGGCCAGATTAATTTTGCACAGAGCAGCAACAGTTCCGACGACCGCTCCTACTCTTTCCAGGAGCAGCCAGGGACGAGGCCGATGATATTTTGACGCGAGCAACGTCCTTGCACGGAGAACACCGTGGTCTTACTGCGGAAATGCCTAGCAGATTGCTCCTCTCCCTTCACTCCCCAGGCAGCAGTGGCAGAGCTTCTCCTCTAAAGCTTTGGCTTGCCGATCTAGTTCGCAGAAGCCAGAAGGATTTGGTCACTAAATTAATTAGTGGACCCACTACATTAATTCCCTTAATTCACCTTCATATGGATTTCAGTTGGCCTACTAAATCATGGCACCTTGTGATATATGGCTTAGAAGAATCCATACGTGGATGGACTTCACTCCTCTCATGGTGGCCGGGAAAATACGGAGCAAATACCTAACTTCAATCAAAATTTGTGGACCAGCAGACAATCTTTAGTCCAGAATCGGTCTGAACAAAAATGGTGGGCCATGGTTCTTGCAACAGATACAACCCAAGTGGCCCAATATTTTAGCCACTTCAAAAAGATAAGTACACTTTAATTTTAATATTATTTTTATTTAAATTAATTTTTTGTCGGGCGAGCATCACACTATCACGCACTTATGATCAAATACCTAGTAGAGTGTGGCTTGAGACCCATCACTAGGATTTAAAGCCCTGACTCCTCAGGCACAAAGCCCCGACCAAGTCGGGCATGAAGACAAAACCCCGACCAAGTCGGGTACGAAGACCGGTCTTAGTCATTCCTCGAGTGGCGACCGTTGCTTACGAATGGCTCACACATCCATTCTACTAAGTATTTTATCATTACATTAGCAATTCACATCTCCACTTGTTTCAAGTGACGAACTCCCGATCGGGAACATAAATCCCAAGAAAATTTTTTTATATGTATGATAAATGTGTAGGTACGAAGATGACTTTACTCATTTTCACCTCGTCTCCACTCGCCTCAAAGAGTGGGGACTGGGGGACTGAGGGGTCAGAGTTTCTAGATGAGCAGAAAATATCACGCAAGAGCAGGAACGAGAGCTGAGTCAGTTGAAGAGGAGCTGAGCTGGATTGATTATGCCGGAGGGGATTTACCTTCCTTGTTTCATGTTGGGGGCGCTAGGTCTACTCTTTTTCCCTTTATTAGGATTTTTTCCCACTGGGTTTTTCCTAGTAAAGGTTTTTAACGAGGCACCTCCCCATAATGGACAAGGGTGGTGGTGGTCCCCCGGTCGAAGAGGAAGAACGTTGCAGATACAGTTTGGACTACTCCCTTTCGCCTCGAGTACTCTCGACTCAGGGAGTGGGGGACTCCTGATGGATTATATGGACTCCGATCCCCCGGTATGCCGACTACTAGGCCTGGACAGCGGCCCACACACGTTTAGCGGATATCATTAATATTATTGTACATTATTATTATTATTCAGATGTTCTAGATCAGCTTTTTATACTATCAGTCCATTTATGTAACCGGGTCTGTCAGGCCCATATTAGAGGCCCAGACCCGGATTTTCCCTATATATACTCCTTATAGGAGGCTTGTAACTCATATAACCAATACTCATTCTATACACATTTCCTTCTTCTTCATCATTTCTTCTTCACTCTTGTTCAATTTCTCCTGTTTATACAATATGGGTATCAATTATCCAACCATTTACGGAAAGGAGAACTTCTTTTTGGGACTGCTAAAAAGGGAAAGTGAGAACTTCTTTGCGGGGCGGAGGTAGTATATCATATATATTATATATATACTGATATATACTTCGTATTATATATTAATTTATATTGTAATTAATATATAGGGATAAGGGTCAGATAGGGCCTCGAACTTGAAAAAAAATGTCAAATAAGGCCATATTTAGGATGCTCTGTCCGGCCGACGCCATTTGGGGTGGTTCCCGGTGGAATTTTTTGATGAAATTTTTTGAGAATCTTATTCATTAAGTCTAGTTTACTCATATCAAATTTGAACTAACAATTCAATCGGGAAGGCATTCAAATGAATTCATGAAGATAACTGCGCTTTTAACGGTACAGTTATCTTCAAGAATTCATTTGAATGCCTTCCCGATTAAAGTTTTAGTTCAAATTTGATATGAGTAAACTAGACTTAATGAATAGGATTCTCAAAAAATTTCATCAAAAAATTCTACCGGGAACCACCCCAAATGGCGTCGGCTGGACAGAGCATCCTAAATATGGCCTTATTTGACATTTTTTTTCAAGATCGAGACCTTATCTAACCCTTATCTCTAAATATATTATATATTAATATACATATATTAATATATAATATATGTTAATATATTATAGCTTGCGAGCCTAAAATTTTGGTTTATTTATAGCTCGACTGCTTAATGAGCCGGCTCGAGTTTGACCAAACCCGATTCAAGCTTTAATCGAGCGGCTCACGAGCAACTCAACTCATTTGCATCCTTATGTGTGACGGATAGAGTAGATTTTTTCCAGCTCATGTATTAAGTTGCAATTTTTTCCCATTAAAATATGGATTATATATGCTTCTAATAATTTTAGTTTGGCCATTAAACATGAACACTGTTCTTTCGACGGGTTTATGGACACCTCCACTTTAGTACTTAGGATTCTTAGTATGCGGCAAAATTTAAGGAATCAATCACTTTGTTTGGCTAAATGTGCAACTTAGTACCTGCTACCTGTGCAAGTAGTTGCGGAGAAGTTTTCCCTTTTTTGAACAGATACTTGGTACCTGACTACCGGCTACCTCTATAACACTATATAAACTACTACTTATAAAGCGTCAACCCCCCTCCCCCCCCTCACTAGACTGGAAGAGGCCACAGTGACATTTACATTTGTATGTTCAAATCCTTAGGCCCAGCTAGTGATGGACGCGGTGCGGGCCACTGGGCCCAAGAACCGGCCCGGCCCGGTACTGTGCGGGTCCGGCCCGGCCCAGGAACCGGGTACCAATTCCTAATCTTTGGCCCGGTTTAGGGAGGGTAGCGGGCCGGGTACGGGTATGGGGAAAATGGAACCGGCCCGGCCGGTTCCGGGCCCGGTTCGGGCTTAATTCTATTTTTTTAACTTTCCGGATTAGGTATTTTGGGCCATTTGGGCTGGTTTGGGGGGGTGGGGATGAGGGGGGGTTAATTAGAAAAAGCAAAATATATATATATATAGAGGCCCGAGGCCCGGACCCGGTGGATACCCGGTCCAGTCCCGGGTCCAACCCCAAATCCCAGAAAGCCCGTCGGGCCTAGGCCCGACCCGGGCCCGACCCGAATCCAACCCTAGGCCCAGCTGCTAACAACTGTTATCCCATAACCTCTTTGGAGTTGTAAAACAACAGGTTCCATTTTCTCTGACAAATTCATACATGGTGGAACCTCAATGTAGAAGTGAAATGTGTTTATAAATCAAGTCAAAATGGTCAATCCAAACATTAAAAAGAAGGGCTTTGCAAGTGAAATAAATCTTAAAGGAACTGCTTGAAAAAATAATTACCAATATTTGCTAGTACAGATTGAAATGTTTGCAAATCCGGGAAACAACCCAAGTAAGCAAGGGAAAAGCTTTAAGATATATGTAGTTCTCTCATTGCAGCCGACTAATGACATCCTCCACCTCAGAAGGAGGGTACAAATGATAAGTTGGAGCTACCCTTGCAATATCCACATTATTGGGAGTCACCTAGTGTTAAAAGAACTTTAGGTGGTAGATAAACAATCTGAGCAATAAAACAACCGAAATGATGAAAAGCCGAGTTTACCTTTTCCTCCATAACCTGCTTGAGGATGGATAGTGCTATTGTTTCAGCTTCTTTCAGAGTGAGTTCCTGAAAATATAACAACAAATGCGGAGATGAAAATAAGAACATGGAGGAAAGTTGAAGGAAATCAAATGTGGGGAAATTAAAAGTAGTCTAAGATTCAATTTGATTTAGAGTTTGTTGATTCTTAATTTGTTTATTAGTGAGTGTTACATACTTACATAAACAATAACCAATCTAAATATATGTAACTATAAAAAACTTAAACATAGATTACTTTCTTTTGCATTTTGTAAGGTCTAGACATAAGAATCTTCAAAGAAAAAAGGTCTAGACATAAGAAACAATTTTGTTTGACATTTTTAAAGGGAATTTAAAACAAAATAAAATCAAAGCAAGAGAGGAAATTTAAAATAAAATCCTATAACAACAATTGTGTTTGTAGCAGGGTTTGATGTCAAAGAGTTTGAGAAGACAGCATACCCAACGGTGAAAACAGGGGTAAATTAGGAAAATAAAACCTTTAGGCACAAATGCGGAATTCCTTAATTTTTGTGCCCAAGTCTATGTTGCATCTAATTACAAACGGAGGATTATATGAGATAAGTAGGAGAGAAAAAGAAAGGAAAGATATAAATAGAAGACAAAGAAGTCCATAATTGATGTTGCATGTAATGATTAGAAGAGGGAACAAAAGAGAGAGAAAACTTCCAATGTTCCCTAAGGGGAGAAAGAAAAAGTGAGCAGGTCCCACGTAATTTCTCTCCCCCTATGACAAACAAGAAAAAATTATGTTCCCTTTCTTCTCTATTTGTTACCCGTTGCCACTCTATCAAAACATGCCATTATGGTATGCTTTGATGTAAAGAACTCCTCACATGTCAAACTAGAGAGAAGGTACCTTGGTATACTGCTCCTGCAAAGAGCTGTCAGCGCCTTCAGAACCCGAACCTATAGCTTTTGCATTGCATTGCCAAAACGTTCCAGATGGGTCTGTATAATACCTGAAAATGAAAATCCCCTAGTGAGTTTCAGATGTGTTTGCAGTATCTCTGTCAAACCGTATAGTGAAACAAGAAAGATAAAGGCAGCATATGCCAAAGTCATCTTTCATGAATGAATTAACTCAATTAAGCATCCAAAAAGGTGTGTTGGGTACGTGAAAGAGCTACTTACAAGCTTGGACCATTCTCATCATGACCAGCAATGAGAAGAGACACCCCAAAAGGCCTAGACTGCATTCACGAGATATTCAACCATTAAAGCTGATTTTAAACTTGTTTACATATTTGGAGACCTTTTCTCCAAGTCTTCACCAACTTATATCTCTAGGGAAACGATAACTTGGGGTGGAGATGAGGCATAGTTTAACAGCAAAACGAAATTTAAATTTGAGTGTAACGCATATGTTTATGCAATATACCATGCTTCTGGTTTCAGCAAAAGTTTATACTTTATAGATTCATATTAAAATATGTAATGCGAAATATGTAAACGATATGAACACAGGAAGCATAATGGGACTAATGGGTATTATGATTAGAGGAAAAATCCATTAAAACATGGTCAACACAAAACTTGATTACTAAGGGACATTCACTAACCATTGATTCTTCATCACCCTCACCAAACCGCAGGGCCAAATCACAGAGAGCTTGTGTAGTTGACTCAACAGTCATAGGTTCACCGTATGAGAATCTATGATTCTAATTACAGAATTATAGAAATGACAGTGGTTAAATTACAGAATCTAGGTTCACCAATATATTGCCTAGCAATATATTGGTTAAATTACAAAAAGTGAAAAAACATATATCTGCAAGTGAAATGGGGTACCTGAGTCTCAACACGAGCATGTTCTATGAGTGTCCGTGCATCAGCAATTAACCCACTCATTGCACACCCAATGTGGGAATCGATTTCCATAATTTTCTCCACACTGCTTGGCTCCTAAAATGTTGTGCAAGAATGACGCCAACATACTTTAAAATGAAAACTACATTTGATTATTGAACATTTAATGGTGTAAGCTGTAATGCGTTTTTGGCAATGCGGAGACTTTAGGCAACTTGATTGAAATCATAAAAGCTAAATAAACAGAAAACAACAGTTTATTGGTTCAAATTTTATCTCCTCAGAACCATGGTTATACTTCCCACATTCTCTTCTATCCTAGGAAAGTGAAGAGTCAATTACAATCAACTAACCAAGCATGGATTCTTCCACATGCAATTTCTATAAACTGTATAACATAAGTGTATAGGTATTGTTATCTCTGTTAACACAAATTTGATATCTAAAGTTCAATAATTATTAAAAACACATTTTCAATTGCAAGTGGAATTTCATCACTACTAAAATGCATATAGCATAAGGGATATTCAATTGCATGACTCTCGAATGCTTCTGTTGTTCGCAGTCAAAATCTGGTCAATCTCATAGACATATTCAGGTAAGACATTATGATGCCTCACTTCAACCTAGGATTTTAATAAATAATCAGTTATCACCTATAATCGTGAATGCTTTCTATTCTGATGAACTCCTTTCAAGAAGCATCATAATGTCTTACCTGAATATGTCTATGAGATTAACCAGATTTTGACAGCGAACAGCAGAAGTGTCAAACTATTAATGTAGCACTTTAATATGTCCTACTACAACATGAGCTCAAGTGTCATTCTTAACACAGGCTTAGAACCCTCCAAGAAACATAGGAACTAATGACACAAAGTAAATTCATAATACACGACCTCATTTTCAAAGGCATGGGAGACTGGGAGCAGTCATCCTGTTCCTCAAAGATGCAAAGGCAGAAAGAAAACGCCTACGGCGTGTTTTGTATTACATTTTGGGCTATTTTGAAAAGCTATTGGAGCTTGGATGCATGAACTTCTCTTTTAGTTTCC